TGTTCTGGTTCACCAACCTGGAAGCTCTCAGAACCCTGTCCTTTTGGGGTTTTATGGAGGCTTCATTACATATGCATGATTGATTAAATTATTGGCCATTGGTAACTGATTCAACCTCTAGTTCCTCTCCTCTCTCCAGAGGTCATGGGGAGGGACTGAAAGTACCAACCCTCAAGTCTAATAAATCCAATCTAATGGTTGGTTTCCCTGCACACCCCACCCCTGCATCTTAGGAGACTTCCAGGAGTCACCTCATTAACATAAATTCAGCTGTGGTCGATTGGGACTTACAGTGAATACCAAGGCACCCATAGCACCTTTATGGCTCTGAAGTGACTTCAGAAATTGAGGATGAAAGACCAAATATTAGAACAAAAGATGGCTCCTGTTGCTCTTATTGCTTAGGAAATTACAATGGTTTGGGGAGCTCTGAGCCAGGAACCATAGGCAAAGTCCAAAATACATATTTATTATAAATAATAATCTCATACCTACAAGTCCTAAAATATTTCCTGTCTGGCCCTTTACAGAAAAAAAAAAGACCAACATAGGGAACAAAATGATGTCAGTGGATCTGGACTTTCTCTCTTCTCTCTGCTTTCCTCAGGGTTGGTCCTTTCTCATGAAGTCTCCATCATGGTGGCAGTCCATCCACAGTAAATAGCTCTAGGCTTACATCCTCATAGGAGAGCTCTTCTTTTCCGGCTGCTCCAATAAAGATGCTGGGTTCACTTTAATTGAACCTCCTTTGCTTGCTTTGTTTGGTGCGTCCATCCTAAGCCAGTAACTGGCCATGGGAACGCAGTGCTCTGATTTGTCAAGTCTGGGTCCACAGGTTGGTCTCTGGAGTGATGAGTCGAGTCAGTATCTCCCAGACCTAAGTACTAAAAGAGGTGATGGGTGATCCTCTTAAGAAAAGCTGGGGAGGGGCGCCTGGGTGGCTCAGTGTGTTAAGCCTCTGCCTTCGGCTCAGCTCATGATCTCAGGGTCCTGGGATCGAGCCCCACATCTGGCTCTCTGCTCAGCAGGGAGCCTGTTTCCCCCTCTCTCTATGCCTGCCTCTCTGCCTACTTGTGATCTCTCTCTCTGTTAAATAAAGAAATAAAAAAAAATCTAAATTAAAAAAAAGAAGAAGAAAAGCTGGGGAGTGGGGCGCCTGGATGGCTCAGTGAGTTGAGCTTCTGCCTTCGGCTCAGGTCATGATCTCAGGGTCCTGGGATTGAGCCCCGCATCGGGCTCTCTGCTCAGTAGGGAGCCTGCTTCCCCCTCTCTCTCTGCCTGCTGCTCTGCCTACTTTGATCTCTCTCTCTCTCTCTGTCAAATAAATAAATAAAATCTTAAAAAAAAAAAAAAAACCCTGGGGAGTAATTACCAGAAAATGGTATTGAGTGAGAAGAGGGAGGAGTCAGAATAGAATAATGAGTAAACAAAAGGGAAATTTTATAATAGCCTGGTAAACAAAAACCTACACTGAAAGAATGAAAATAACAGCTTTTAAATAGCTACAGATTCTTCTGTTAATACAGAAATACATACTTCTCCCTTTCACCAGTTCATTTGAAATCGAGATTTTAGGTCAACTATATGAAATTACTATTTCTATTGGTCGAAACAGTTGAATATTGGCAATTTCATGCAGTTTGTTTTAGTATCCTAGGGCTGCTACAACAAAGTACCTTAAACTGGTTGCTTAAAACAACTGGAATTTATTCTCTTGGTTCTGGAGGCTAGAAGTCAGAAATCAAGGGGTTGGCAGGGCCGTGTTCCCTTTGAAGGCTCTTGAGGAGACGGCTCCCAGCTTCTGGGGGCATTATGTTTTCTTGGCTAGTGGTTGCATGACTCCAATCTCCAGCTGTTCTTTCACAAGGCTTTTGTAATTCTGGGTCCTCTCCTCTTCTTATAAGGACACCAGTCATTGACTATAGGACCCACCTTAGTCAAGTGACCTCATCTTAACTAATTATTTCTGCAAAGACCCTGTTTCCAAATAAGGTTACATTCTGAGATTGCAGGTAAACCTGAATTTTGAGGGGACAGTATTCAATCCACTATTAGTTCAACCTCATATTTTTGGAGAATTGAAAAATTAAAACATTTTATCTTTTCAGTCTCTAGAAAAACAAAAGTAAGGACTGAATTAGAGTATTCTAGGAATGCAAAGATCATTCAGCACCCAAAAAAATGTAACATACCATTTTAACAGATTGTTGTGGGTTGCATTGTGTTCCCCCCAAAAGATACATTGAAGTGCTAACTTGCAGTACCTTACTTGGAAATAAGGTTGTTGCAAATGTAATTAGTAAAGAGGAGGTCAAATTGGAGTAGGATGGGCCCTTAATCCAAAATGACCCGTGTCCTGGGGCACCTGGCTGGCTCAATCAATAGAGCATGTGACTCTTGATCTCGGGGTAATGAGCTCAAGTGCCACATTAGGCCTAGAACTTCCTTTTTTTTTTTTTTTTTTTTTTTTTTAAAATGGCTGTACAAGATGACTAGTGTCCTTATAAGAAGAAACTATGAAGATACAAGGAGAGAGTTCCTTGTGAAGACACAGACACACAGAGAGAAGGCAACAGTATGAAGATAGAGACAAAGATTGGGGTATTGCTGCCACAAACCAAAGAACGTCTGGGGACACTAGACTCTAGGAATAAGCAAATAAGGGTTCCTCTCTCACAGGTTTCAGAGAGAGGATGGCCCTGCTGACAGCCTGATTTCAGACATCTGTCGTCCAGACTGTGAGACAACAAATTTCTACTGTGTGAATTCACCCAGTTTATGGTACTTTATTACAGTAGCCCCAGGAAATAAATATACAGGTTAAGAAGAAAAAAATATAACACCAAGTAAACATTTAGTAAAGTTTAGCACTCGTTTATGATAAGTATTTTTAGAAAATTGGAAACAAAAGGATATCCATCAAACACACCTGTACTAGACATCATTCTTAATGGTGAAATTTTAGGAGCATTTCCATTCAGCCGATGAGCAGTAGAAATAAATCTAACAAAAATATGCAAGATCTTAATAAAGAAAATAAGGAAACATTGCTAAAGACTATGAAAGAAGGCCTCAATAAGTGGAGAACTATCCCATGTTCGTGTATGGTAAGACTCACTATCATAAAGATGTGAGTTTTCCTATAAATTAATATATAAATTAAATTCCAAAATAAATGCCTATAAGATATATTTTTTTCTCTTTTTAGTGAAACTTGATAAAGTTATCCTAATATTTATATGGAAGAAGAAAGCAACAATTAGACTTTTTTTTAAATGTTATTTGAAGAACTAAGTGGGGGAATTCATTTTAAAGTTTGGTAATTAATAGTTTGCAGTATTGATCCAGAGATAGACAAACAGACCAGCTGAACTGAACAGAAGGCTCAGAAGTAGATCCATGAATTTATGTAAACTAAATGTATGACAGAGACAGTATTACCGATTAATGGGGAAAGGATAGACTGTTCAAAAATAGTGCCAAAGGGGCGCCTGGGTGGCTCAGTGGGTTAAGCCTCTGCCTTCAGATCAGGTCATGATCCCGGGGTCCTGGGATCAAGCCCCATGTTGGGCTCTCTGCTCGGCAGGGAGCCTGCTTCCCCCTCTCTCTCTGCCTGCCTCTCTGCCTACCTGTGATCTCTGTCAAATAAATAAATAAAATTAAAAAAAAATAGTGCCAGAAAAATTGGGTATCTGCATGAATAAAATTAGAATATGATATGCAAAATAAATAGTGCATTAAAGCCCTAAAAGTGAGAAACAGAACTTTAAAAAATATCTTTATGTCCTTGAGACTAAGGAATTTCTTTTTCTTTTTTTTTAAGATTTTATTTACAGGGGCGCCTGGGTGGCTCAGTGGGTTGAGCCTCTGCCTTCGGCTCAGGTCATGATCTCAGGACTGAGCCCTGCATCAGGCTCGCTCCTCAGCGGGGAGCCTGCTTCCCCCTCTCTCTCTGCCTGCCTCTCTGCCTACTTGTGACCTCTCTCTCTCTGTCAAATAAATAAATAAAATCTTGGGGGAAAAAAAGATTTTATTTATTTATTTGACAGAGAGAGAGTGACAGCATGAAAGGGAACACAAGCAGGGGGAGTGGGAGAGGGAGAAGCAGGCTCCCTACTGAGCAGGGAATCCCAATGCGGGGCTTGATTCCAGGACCCTGAGATCATGACCTGAGCTGAAGCCAGGTGCTTAATGACTGAGCCACCCAGGCACCCCGAGACTAAGGAATTTCTTTTTTTTTTTTTAACTTTTATTTATTTATTTGACAGAGATCACAGGTAGGCAGAGAGGCAGGCAGAGAGAGAGGGGGAGGCAGGCTCCCCGCTGAGCAGAGAGCCCGATGTGGGGATCGATCCCAGGACCCCAGGATCATGACCCGAGCCGAAGACAGAGGCTTTAACCCACTGAGCCACCCAGGCGCCCCAAGACTAAGGAATTTCTTAAACAAGTTACAGAAAACACATTAATAGATTGATAAATTGGACTGTATTAAAACTAAAATCTTCTTTTTAATGAAAACCACACTAAACAAAGTTAAAAAAAAATCAAACCATGGACTAGAGAAGATATTTGCAAAGCATATACCTGATGAAGGATTAATATGTTGGATACTTAAAGGATATCTATAAATAAATAAGAAAAAGACAACCCAACTTGAAAAATAAGAAAGGATTTGTGTAGATAGCATCATTGTGACCATTCATCACCAATATTCACATCCTTTGTTGTGTGACTTCACAGTTCTTCCCACTAACAGGGGAGAAGGTCTTCTTCTCTTTTTTTTTTTTAATTTAATTTTTTTTTTTTTTAGATTTTATTTATTCATTTGACAGAGAGAGAGATCACAAGTAGGCAGGGAGGCAGGCAGAGAGAGAGGAGGAAGCAGGCCCTCCTCGGAGCAGAGAGCCCGATGCAGGGCTCGATCCTAGGACCCTGGGATCATGACCCAAGCCGAAGGCAGAGGCTTTAACCCACTGAGCCACCCAGGCTCCCCAGGTCTTCTTCTCTTGACTTTACCTTTGGCCATGTGATTTGCTTGAGACTGTTACAGTCGGGTAGATGTGATAGTGTGCCAGTTGCAAGCCTGCACCTTAAGAGGCTTCACATATCTCCCCTTGGTCTTTTGTACTTTTGGCATCGTCATGAGAAGAAATCAGCCAGGCCAGCCAACTGTTACCAGGAGGAAGCTATGAGACCATGTAGTAACACAACCACCCTGGAATTGGTTGACTCCTAGGCGTGTGATTGGGCCCAGGCAAGATCAGCAGAGCTCTCCTAACAAGTCCGCCCAGATCAGCCAACACACAGGCTTGTGAGCTAAATAGATACTTATAAAATTATTTTTTGTAGTTAATTGTTATACAGTGTTAGTTAACAGTATTGTAAGGTCCATATGTACAATGGAGTATTATGCCTCCATCAGAAAGGATGAATACCCAACTTTTGTATCAACATGGACTGGAGGAGATTATGCTGAGTGAAACAAGTCAAGCAGAGAAAGTCAATTATCATATGGTTTCACTTACTTGTGGAGCGTAAGGAATAACATGGAGGACATTAGGAGAAGGAAAAGGGAAGTGAATTGGGAGAAATTGGAGGGGGAGATGAAGCATGAGAGATTGTGGACTCTGAGAAACAAACTGAGGGTTTGGAGTGGAGGGAGACGGGGGGATGAGTGAGCCTGGTGGTGGGTATTAAGGAGGGCATGTATGGCATGGAGCACTGGATGTGGTACATAAACAATGAATCTTGGAACACTGAAAAAAAATAAGATAAAATTAAGATGTTTTTAAAAAATGACAAAGGGCACTGGGTGGCTCAGTGGGTTAAGCCTCTGCCTTCAGATCAGGTCATGGTCCCAGGGTCCTGGGATTGAGCCCCTTATCGGGCTCTCTCCTCAGCGGGGAGTCTGCTTCCCACTCTCTCTCTGCCTGTCTCTCTGCCTACTTGTGATCTCTCTCTCTTTCTCTGTCAAATAAATAAATAAAATCTTAAAAAAAAAAACCAACCAACATTGTAACGAGCAAGCAGTTCACTGAATCATAGTACACATTCATTGTTCAGTCCACGCAAATAAAAGCAATAACAAACCACTGCATATTTGTAAGATTGGCAAAATTTAAAAGTCTGATGATATTAAGTACTGACAGGGGCACCTGGGTGGCTCAGTAGGTTAAAGCCTCTGCCTTTAGATCAGGTCATGATCTCAGGGTCCTGGAATTGAGCCCTGTGTCAGGCTCTCTGCTCAGCAGGGAGCCTGCTTCCCTTCCTCTCTCTCTGCCTGCCTCTCTGCCTACTTGTGATCTCTGTCTGTCAAATAAGTAAATAAAAGCTTTAAAAAAATATTAAGGACTGACAAAACCAAGAAGTGGTAATTGATATATATACATTAATGGGAGATACACTTAAATACTAGGTGATATGGTTCTGGCTATTGAGTTGCAAGTGTAAGTCCCCTGGTGAGGCTCCAGAAAACCTTCTTTTCCCTCTGATTAAAAAAAAAAAAAAAAAAAAAAAGACAGGCTGGGTTGATAATTGTCTTTTGTCCTTTCCTCTTCTTCCTGCCAGGAATGTGGACATCAGGCTGCAGATGGGGCAAGCATCTTGCAACGTGAAGTGTCTTAATCTCATTAATGATATATTTTGTACATTCAATCTATTTGGTTCCTCCTCAAACCTACTTCTTCTCCCCTGCCCCCCGCCGCCCCCGGTTTCTTTTCTTGTGGATAATGACAAAGCAAAAAGAGAATGGCTAACATTCATGAAGTCCTTATTACTCGTAGCTTTGAGTGCCATGTGTGCAACAGCTCATTCTACCCTCACAATAATCCTGTGAAATAAGAGCTATTTCTTGTTCCAATTTACAGATAAGGACATGGATGCAGAGCTTAAGTAAATTACCCAGGGTCATGCAGCTATTAAGTGGTAGAGCCAGAATTCCAAATTGAGCTCCCTGGATGTAGCGTCTATGCTCATAACTATATGCTACTCTCGGGGCACCTGGGTGGCTCAGTTGGTTAAGTCTCTGCCTTCGGCTCAGGTCATAATCTCAGGGTCCTGGGATCAAGTCCCACATGGGGCTCTCTGCTCAGCAGGGAGTCTGCTTCTCCCTCGACCTCTGCCTGTCCCCACTGCTTGTGCTGGCTCGGTCTCTCTCTCAAGTAAAGAAAAATAAAATATTTTTAAGAAGCTACATGCTACTCTTTATATCTTTTCTCTCTCTGACCTTCTTAAACATACTTAGTTTATAGTCTATTAGATTTTTATTCTGTTTTCTAAAATTGTGGGTGTTTTGCTTCTCCTGTTTGTTCAACCTGCTGATTCTTCTTTATGAAGAGTCATTTCCTTGTATGTTTTAGCATGTTTGATGCACATTCAACGACACGGAGCATGTATCATGTGCTCATGGGCTGCTCCAGGAGCTGGGAATAGATAAGTAAAGCAGGCAAAGTGTCTGCTCTTGTACCTTAAATTCTAGTCGGAGAAAACGGACAGCAAACAAATAAAAGGCTAGAGAATGGGTGATTCTATAGGATGGTAAAGGAAGGCTCTCGGATAAGGGTACATTCCAACGGAGACCTGAAAATGTGAGAATGTGAGCTACGTGTATCCCTAGGAGCAGATTCCCAAGCAGAAGGATTGGCAAGGACAAAGGCAGCATGGCAGGAATAGGCCTTGAATGTTAGGAATGAGCAGAGGTCTTTGTGGCTGGAATGCAGCGTAGGAGGGATAGAGCAGAGGAGACGATGAGGGCAGAGAGATACCTGGACTGGGCGGTGCACATGAGGCAGGGCCTTTGAGGTCATGAGAACTTTGAGGCTGGCTGGGGAGCCTCTCAAGGCTTTCTTAGTGGGGTCATAAGCTCAGGGATGGTATTTAAAACTATGAGGCTAGCTGGGCTCACCTAGGGAATGGTGTAAGTAGGCAAGAGGTCTGAGCCCTGAGGCCTGGGGCATTCCAGCAGTAGGGGAGGAAAATTTTTCCTCCACCTTCTTCCTGGCTGGGTCTGGAAATTAAACTGACACAGACACATTAGCGTGAGAAATGCATACAAAATGACTCCATAGAAGTTTCGCATGACTCTGACACCTTTATCGGGAAATGAAGAGCCGAAGTATCAGTTAGGCCTGAGTATATTTTTATGCTAGGTTCCTCGACCAGTGGACTGTCACCGAGGAATATGGTAGGTAAAGGGGTGTGAGATAAATTTAGTAACCAGGGAAGCTCGGCAAAGCCTGTTTGTTCAGATTCTCTTCAGCGTCCCTTTGTCTTCTGAGATAAGGAGGCTCTTTCCTCTGGGTATAAGGAGGGCACCTCTCACCTGGGGGTTATTTTAGTTGCAGGGAGAAGGGAGGAGGGTTCAGACTGCCCTTTCTACCCGGGCTCCCCGCTCAGCGTGGCATCTGCCTGAGGTTCTCTCTCCTTCCTCCTCTGCCCCTTACCCCCTCAAATAAAGAAATAGATAAAATCTTAAAACAAACAAACAACCTCTTTCAATGAATTTTGTGTGAAGGGAGCAGAGAAATGAGTAGTAAACTGGGGTACCCGGCTGGCTTAGTGGGTAGAACATGAGACTTTTGATCACAGGGTCTTGAGTTCAAGTCCCCTGGGTGGTGTAGAGTTTACTTAGAATTAAAAAAAAAAAAAAATATATATATATATATATATATATATATATATATGTATATGAAATGAGTTGTAGCTAGAGGTGCATGTGAAATCAAGGGAGGTTTTGTTTGCTCGTTTCTAAGATAGGAAATAATAGACATCATGATGGTATGATATTGGAAATGATCCACTTTATAGGAAGAGGGGAACGATTTTGAGTTGCGTCTAAGCAGAGATCATTTCCCACCTGGCTTGGGACCTGGGACCACCTGTCCCAAGCAGTTGTGCATTTCCTTCTGCCAAAAGCCCAGGAGCCCCACCAACCCAGGACTAATTTCCACATTAAATTTACACCTTGAGGTTTCTCACACCAAACAGGTAGAATAAATTTGAATTCCAGAACCTCAAAAAGCACAACCTTGGGTCTGCTAGCTCACCTAGGTACTTTTTTTTTTAATATTTTATTTATTTATTTGACAGACAGAGATCACAAGTAGGCAGAGAGGCAGACAGAGGGAGAGGTTCGGGAAGCAGGCTCCTCGCTGAGCAGAAAGCCCGATGTGGGGCTCCATCCCAGGACCCTGAGATCATGACCTGAGCCGAAAGTGGAGGCTTTAACCCACTGAGCCACCCAGGCACCCCACACCTAGGTACTTTTTTTTTTTTATTTCCCCAATGAAGGCCCTGCAAAGACAAACTTTGTGTGTTTCCGGGATTTATGGGCAAAGTTCACTAGTTTTTCTTCATGAAGGTTGTGGTCCCTAGAGGATGCCAACTTGTTACTGATAAAAACCTGAAGCCACACTGGGGCTCCGGCTCTGCTCCTTCTCCACCACCGGCATCTCAGGATTTCTCATTTTCTTACAAGCCCCACCATACATTTAGAACATTTGTGTATATTTTAAGGGGGGGAAGAAAAAATAGAGAGAGGGAGACAAGCCATAGGAGACTCTTAACGATAGAGGGCAAACGGAGGGTTGATGGAGGTGGGTGGGGGTTGGGCTAGCTGGGGGATGGGTATCAAGGAGGGAACAGAGCAGAAGGCCTGAATCATAGAAGATGCTCGGTAAAGGTTGGTGACTGAACAAATCACTGTCCAAAAACCACACAACTCGCAGTACAGTACTAAGTGATTTTCTGCACCTTGGAGACTCTGTCCTCTAAGAAGAAAGTGGTTTCCATGGAGACGAGAGAGAGGTTTCTGATGGTTATTTCGGTTGACTCTGCTGGGAAAAGCCATGTCACTTTGGTCTGGTAACCACGTGTCTTTTCCTCTCCAGAATGGAGATCTCCTCTCACCAGTCCCACCTCCTGCAACAACTGAATGAGCAGCGCAGGCAAGACGTCTTCTGTGACTGCAGCATTCTGGTGGAAGGGAAGGTCTTCAAAGCACATCGAAATGTATTATTTGCTAGCAGTGGTTACTTCAAAATGCTCCTTTCTCAGAATTCGAAGGAGACAAGTCAGCCGACCACAGCTACATTTCAGGCCTTCTCCCCTGACACTTTTACGGTCATCCTGGACTTCGTCTATTCTGGCAAACTCTCTCTCACGGGTCAGAACGTTATAGAAGTGATGTCAGCCGCCAGCTTCCTTCAGATGACTGATGTCATTAGCGTATGTAAGACCTTTATTAAATCTTCGCTAGACATCAGTGAGAAAGAAAAAGATCGCTATTTCAGTCTCTCCGATAAAGACGCCAATTCTAACGGTATAGAACGTTCCTCCTTTTATAGCGGCGGCTGGCAAGAAGAAAGCGGTTCTCCGCACTCTCACCTGAGCGCAGATCAAGGAACAGGTGTCATAAGTGGGAAATCTTGGAGTAAGTATAATTACCATCCAACCTCCCAAAGGAATACTCAACAGCCTTTGGCCAAGCATGAACAAAGGAAAGACTCCATTAAAAAGTCCAAACATTTGAGGTTGTCACAGCCTTCTGAAGTCGCTCATTATAAGTCCAGCAAACGAGAAGCACGAACCTCAGATTCTTCCGGCCACATTTCCCAATCTGAAGAACACGCACAGATTGATGCTCACATGGACTCCACGCCCGTTGGCTATCCGTATGGTCCAGGATCTGATGTCACATCCAGAAGCTTTCCAGGTATCCAAAAAAAAAAAAAAAAAAAAATCAGTCCCCTCAGTGAGTCCTAAGGCTCCTGTACTATACAAACCAATCCTATCTCAACATGCCCTTACTTTGAAGTGTTATGGGCAGTTGAGCCAAGTGATTTTTTTTTTAAAGTCATTCTCCTCTAATCAAATTTATTTCATAAAACATGAATTTAAATTTCTAATTAAAAATAGTATTGGATAGGGGTGCCTGGCTGGCTCAGTTGGTAGAGCACATAACTCCTGATCATAGGGTCATGAGTTCACGCCCCATATTGGGCATGGAGCTTACTTTAAAAAAAAATTTAAAAAAAGAATAAATTTAATAACAGTCAAAACAATAGAGTTCTGAATTTCAAAGCCAAAGATTTTCCCAACCTGTGTCATCAGATGATTAGATTACTGTTAAACCCCTATAGCTCTTTTTTTAAATGGCTCAATCCCTAAGATGCATATCTTCACTTTAAATTACATATTTTGGGATGCCTGGGTGGCTCAGTTGGTTGGGCAGCTGCCTTCGGCTCAGGTCATGATCCCAGTGTCCTGGGATCGAGTCCCACATCGGGCTCCTTGCTCGGCAGGGAGCCTGCTTCTCCCTCTGCCTCTGCCTGCCATTCTGTCCGCCTGTGCTTGCTCTCTCTCCCTCTCTCTCTCTCTGACAAATAAATAAATAAAATCTTTAAAAAAAATTACATATTTTTTTTCCGAGTATTTACTCAGGAGGAGCGTTTTTATACAGAAAAGTTAAACAGAGCATTCATGCATATTTACAAAGGTTCACAGACCCAAGACTTAAAAAAACTGGACTGCATCTGATTTTATTGAGATATAAAGACATAATTTAAAAACCACACACAACCCATAACATAACACCTGTGTAACCCTGTGTGCAACAACAACTGGAAACATCTCATTTTTATGATAGTAGTAAAATGCAGAAAGACTATGGAGGTGTTGGTTTCAGTAATCCACCCCTTACCATCAGAAGACTGTAGTAGAGAACAGGAATTAGAAATGCATGTCATGGGGCGCCTGGGTGGCTCAGTGGGTTAAGCCTCTGCCTTCGGCTCAGGTCATGATCCCAGGATCCTGGGATCGAGCCCCACAACCGGCTCTCTGCTCAGCGGGGAGCCTGCTTCCCTCCCTCCCTCTCTCTCTCTCTCTCTCTCTCTCTGCCTGTGTCTCTGCCTACTTGTGATCTCTGTCTGTCAAATAAATAAATAAAATCTTTAAAAAAAAAAAAAAGAAATGCATGTCATACTGGAGGGCCTGGGTGGCTCAGTCCGTTAAGCAGCCAACTCAGTTTTGGCTCAAGTCGCGATCCACAGTTGTGGGATCGAGCCCTATGTCAGACTCCATGACATCAGACTCTGTGCTCAGAGCTCAAGCTCAGTCTGCTTGAGATTCTCTCCCTCCTTCAGCCCTTCCCCCTACTCATGCTCTCTCTCTCAAAATAAGTAAATTTTTTAAAATTATTAAAAAAAATGCATGTCATATAGTTCTGCCCCAATTAATCAGGTAGCAAACTTGCTTAATAGCTTACGTGTGAATTTAAAGGAAAATTATAAGATGAAACACCTGAAGATTATAAGATTCAGGTTATATATTTAAAATTATTTTTATTTTAGGAAAATTTCAAACATACACAAAAGGAAAGAGAATAGTGTAATTCATCTCCATGTATCCCTTAACCAGTTTGTACAACTTCCTACTCACTGCCAATATTTTCATCCGTATCGTTACTCCTCACCCCTCCCTTTATTATTTTTAAGCAAATAGCAGACGTCATAAGTTTTCATCTATAAATATTTGAGAATGAATCCCTAAAATGTAGTCTTAAAAAAGGTGGGGTGGGGGCCTTAGTGAGTTAAGCATCCGACTCTTGATTTCAGCCCAGGTCATGATCTCAGGGTTGTGAGATCAAACCCCACATCCGATTCCAGTGCTAGGCATGGAGCTTGCTTAAGATTCTTTCTCTCCTTCTGCTCCTCCACTTCCCTAAAAAAATACCAAAACAGAACGGGACATGCGACTCTTGATCTCAGGGTTGTGAGTTCAAGCCCAATGTTGGGCATGTAGCCTACTTTAAAAAAATAAAAATAAAGTTGTCTTTAAAAAAAATAAATAGGGGTGCCTGGGTAGCTCAGTGTGTTAAGCCTCTGCCTTTGGCTCAGGTCGTGATCTCAGGGGCCTGGGATCGAGCCCCACATCGGGCTCTCTGCTCAGCAGGGAGCCTGCTTCCCCTTCTCTCTGCCTGCCTCTCTGCCTAGTTGTGATCTCTGTCTGCTAAATAAATAAATAAAATCTTTTATAAATAAATAAATAAAAACACTATAATACCATAATTGTACCTAAACGGAATTAACAGTTCCTTAACATCAGTAAATAGCCAATCAGTATTCACATTACCTCTGTTGTCATATAAATTTTTAAAAAATAATTTGGTTGCAGATAACATACTTTAGAACAAGAGGCAACTGTATTTTCCCGTAGTACTAACCTGAAAATACGTGAAATTGTAGCCTGTCACTGAGCTTACTGAAAGTCTTGCCGAGCTCTGACCATTGACCAAAATCATCAGAGCAAAAATCAGAAATCTTTGTTCCACTTTAAAACAGCACAAGAGGGACGCCTGGGTGGCTCAGTTGGTTAAGCAGCTGCCTTCGGCTCGGGTCGTGATCCCAGCGTCCTGGGATCAAGTCCCACATCGGGCTCCTTGCTTGGCGGGGAACCTGCTTCTCCCTCTGCCTCTGCCTGCCATTCTGTCTGCCTGTGCTCGCTCTCTCTCCCTCTCTCTCTCTGACAAATAAATAAATAAAATCTTTAAAAAATAAAAAAAATAAATAAAACAGCACAAGAGTGATCTTTTCTCTGTTTGGGTTCTGTACTTTTATAATTCTAGGTTATGCAAACCTAACTTCAACAATGAACCACTGGATTTAACGGCTATTAAACTGATGAAGTTTGCCTCCAAACTAATATCTTGAGTACATGAGTTTTATTTTATTTATTTTTTTCAACTTTATATATATATATATATTTTTTTTACTAATCTCTGCACCCAACGTATGGCTCAAATCCACACCGCGGAGATCCAGAATCACGTGCTCCAATGACTGAGCCAGCCAGCCAGGCGCCCCTTGAATACATGAGTTTTAAAATAAAAAATTAAATAGCCTTGACAGTTTTTCCCCTTTAAAAGTGTTACAAGTGTACAAGAAGTAGAGGCAAGGGGATAAAAATATGTCAATAAAACACATCACTTAAAAGCTATAATATGAAATACTTTGGGGTTGTACCTCCACTTCTTTTGCTTTTGTTTTTGTCTTCTTTTTTTTTTTTTTTTTTTATTTGACAGAGAGAGAGAAATCGCAAGTAGGCAGAGAGGCAGGCAGAGAGAGAGAGGGGAGGAAGCAGGCTCCCTGCAGAGCAGAGAGCCCGATATGGGGCTCGATCCCAGGACCCCGGGATCATGACCTGAGCAGAAGGCAGAGGCTTTAACCCACTGAGCCACCCAGGTGCCCCTTGTCTTTTTTTTTTTAAATCTCTAGTTTTAAAGTCCAGCACTCCCTTTTTACCTTTCAAATCCAGTGACTCCACAATGCAGAATGAGAGGACAAGCGCAAGAGTCTAAATTTACCCCAACGTTATACATCTCTCAAATGCTCACGTTACTGTTCTGGACTCAGGGGTGCATGGACAATGGAGTCTTTTTTTTTTTTTTTTTAAGTTTGTTTGTTTATTTATTTATTTATTTATTTATTTGCCAGAGATCACAAAGTAGGCAGAGAGGCAGGCAGAGAGAGAGGGAGGGAAGCAGGCTCCCTGCTGAGCAGAGAGCCCGATGTGGGGCTTGATCCCAGAACCCTGGGATCATGACCTGAGCCGAAGGCAGAGGCTTAACCCACTGAGCCACCCAGGCATCCCTGGACAATGGAGTCTTGATGACATCTCTTCCTTCTCCTTTCCTCCTGCCTTTGCAAGATCCGACTCACCAACTCCTTTGGGATTCTTTTTTTTTTTTTTTAAAGATTTTATTTATTTATTTGACAGACAGAGATCACAAGTAGGCAGAGAGGCAGGCAGAGAGAGAGAGAAGGGGAAGCAGGCTCCCCGCTGAGCAGAGAGCCCAATGCGGGGCTCGATCCTAGGACCCTGGGATCATGACCTGAGCCGAAGGCAGAGGCTTTAACCCACTGAGCCACCCAGGCGCCCCTCCATTGGGATTCTTGATGTTAGATTAGAACTGTTGTGGTGAACTTTCCAGTGATTTAATCAAACTGTCTCCTGACAGATGATCTGCCCAGGATGCGGTTCAAGTGTCCCTACTGCACCCACGTGGTGAAGCGGAAGGCAGACCTCAAGCGCCATCTTCGCTGCCATACAGGGGAAAGACCCTACCCATGTCAAGCCTGTGGGAAGAGGTTTAGCAGGCTGGACCACCTCAGTAGCCATTTCCGCACAGTACGTACAGGACTTTTCCTCATTTTACTTCTTAAGAAACGTGTGCATTCACCTGCTTTTGGATCATCTTAATTTACTGAGGGAAATCTTTTCCTACAACTGCTCTGTTGGAAATGTTTCCAACCTAATGGTTTCACTTTGCACATAATGCCTCATTTAATATATATTTTCATTCTCCTTTGAGACCGTGAAGTAGGAGATATTCTTTTGAATATCCATTTTGTTCTCTAAATTTTTTTTTAAGGATTTTATTTATTTGACAGACAGAGATCATAAGTAGGCAGAGAAGCAGGCAGAGAGAGAGGAGGAAGCAGGCCCCCTGCTGAGCAGAGAGCCCGATGCAGGTTTCCATCCCAGGACCCTGGGATCATGACCCGAGCCGAAGGCAGAGGCTTTAACCCACTGAGCCACCAAGGCACCCCTGTTTTTTAAATTTTTTATTAATTTTTTAAAAATATCCATTTTAGTTCATTTAAAATCGAGTATGTTTGTTTTTTTTTTAAAGATTTTTATTCATTTATTTGACAGAGATCACAAGTAGGCAGAGAGGCAGGCAGAGAGAGAGGAGGAAGCAGGCTCCCTGCCGAGCAGAGAGCCCGATGCGGGGCTCGATCCCAGGACCCTGGGACCATGACCTGAGCCGAAGGCAGAGGCCTAATCCACTGAGCCACCCAGGTGCCCCCGAGTATGTTTTTATATACCGGTCTTGTCAAGAGCCAGAGACAATGTAAACTAAAGATATCTGGATCTCCAGGTCAGAATGACCACTGCGTGTGGCGATTCTGCGTGTCCTGGTGGTTCTCTGATGCTTACCTGGTAGGATCTCGGTCCAGTTTCTGCTGTCCATCCTCTGTTCCCTGTGCCCCTTTTGAGTCTCTATCTGGTCTCCTCAAGGAAGGGAGCAAGGTGGGCAGTAGAGCTACTTCCACTTGAACTAGACTGTCAACAGTTGGGAAAATCTCAGCGAATTTGCTGTTCAGTGCCCTGGCGGGCTACAAAGGCAGGGACGTTGGAATTACTCTGCTGTTCATCTTGCTGCAAGAATGTTTTCTGAAATCTGTGTTCTATTATTCTTCTATTCCCTTTGTATCAGCCCCTTTTAACTTCAAAGGACAATGGGTCACTGAGGGTGATTTCTTCATGCATTGCTCTGGACTTAGTTTTTAGCAAATACAGACTGAGCACCCATGTGCCAGCCCCTTTTTCTCAGAGCTAGGTATCCAGCAGTGGGCAAAACAGACAAAATCTCTGCCTTCTGACATCTGGGTGGCTCAGTCTGTTAAGTGTCTGCCTTTGGCTTGGGTCATGATCCCAGGGTCCTGGGACCGAGTCCCGCATCGGGCTCCCTGCTCCCTCTCCCCATTGCTTGTGCTATCTGTAACCCCCCCAAATGAATAAATAAAATCTTTAAACAAATCTGTGACTTCATTAACCTTATGAAGCTAGGGTTTTTAAAATTAAAAATAACATTTTATTATTGCAAAAGCAATGAACATGCATTTTAAAAAGTAAAAATAAGAAAATAAAAATATTTTTACCACCAGACACTACCATTCCCCCCCCCTTTTTAAAAAGATTTTATTTCTTTATTTATCAGAGAGAGAGAGAGAGTACAACCAGGGGGAGCAGCAGGCAGAGGGAGAAGCAGGGCTCTCTGCTAAGCAAGGAACCCGATGCGGGACTTGATCCCAGGACTCTGGGATCATGACGTGAACCGAAGGCAGATGCTTAACACACTGAGCCACCCAGGCATTTTCAGATACCACCATTCTTAAGACGGTATCACATGCATATAGATGGTTTTTTGTTTTTTGTTTTTTTGTTTTTTTTTACCAAATTAGATCGTACTGTTTGTGCCTGCTATCTTTCTGAACAAGCTCTACCTTTCCATCTCAATGGAAATTTTATCTAACATCCAGTTCAATTTCAAACCTCCCTGTAATCCCCCAATACCTTTTAGAGCTTGTTTGTCCAAACCAGTACCCAGTACCCTGTACTACATCTCATTAAGTCCCTTAAATATGTTTTTAAGAGAGCATAGTCCTCCCTGCCCCCCTTTTCATTTCCATGACACTGACTTACTGAAGATGCAGAGATAATTTACCTACCTCTCGATTTCTCTGCTTGCTTTCACAGGTGTCATTTAGCTTGTTCCTCTGTCCCCCTGCATTTTCTATAAACTATATGTTTTTTTGTTTTTTAAAGATTTTTTATTTATTTATTTGAGACAGAGATCTCAGGTTGGCAGAGGGGCAGGCAGAGAGAGAGGAGGAAGCAGGCTCCCCACCGAGCAGAGAGCCCGATGCGGGGCTCGATCCCAGGACTCTGGGATCATGACCTGAGCCGAAAGCAGAATCCTCAACCCACTGAGCCACCCAGCCGCCCCTAAACTATATGTTTTATCTAAAGGCTTAATGGAGGGACGCCTAGGTGGCTGAGTCAGTTAAGTGTCTCCCTTCAGCTCCTGTCATGATCTCAGGGTCCTGCTGGGATTGAGCCCCTCGTCCAGCCCCTCAGTGGACTCCCTGCTCAGTGGGCAGTCTCCTTCTTCTTCCTCTGCCCCTCCCCCTGCTCACACACATTCTTTCTTTTTCAAATAAATAAAATCTTTAAAAATAAATAAATAGGGGGTGCCTGGGTGGCTCAGTGGGTTAAGGCTCTGCCTTCGGCTCGGGTCATGATCGAGCCCCGCATTGGGCTCTCTGCTCAGCAGGGAGCCTGCTTCTCCCTCTCTCTCTGCCTGCCTCTGCCTACTTGTGATCTCTGTCTGTCAAATAAATAAATAAAATCTTTAAAAAAATTAAAAATTTAAAAAAATTAAAATAAATAAATAAAGGCTTAATGGATTCAAGGTAAATACTTTCAGCTAGAACACATCAAGGGTAAAATTATTTAACTCATGTGTCACATTAAGAGACACAATATCTGGTGGACCCATCATTCATATTGTTACGATTGGTCACTAAAGTTAGGGTAATGAGACTGTGATCCCACCATTTTTCAGTTAAAGGTGCCACCTTGTGATTAGAAAGGAATATGTGTGGAGCTGTTTTGGCATTATGCTACTATCCATTTCCCTATCAACCATTCATTTCATGGTATTAATATCAGTTGATAAACTCTGTCCAAATTATTAATTTTACTTGGGTTGTAGAATGACTTGCTAATTTTATCATTTCTTCTACCTTATTAGCTAGAATTCTGTAAAGTAAAACTTTCCTTCATCACCTGGGACTATTCAGTTACTTTGAAATACAGTTACTACAGGAGAAACAGGATAAATATTTAATTCTTTCCCTTTAATTATCAATTTTCGGACTAAAGAGTTGATTTAATAGCAATTTCAAATGGCAATATGAATATTTTCTGGTTTTTTTTTTTTAAATAGCATATGGTCTCATGAATTCTCATTGGTTCATTGTGTTTGGATCTACAACAATTATTATTCTTTTTGATACTCAAATTTTCGATCTTGTCCAGTGAGGACAACTTGAAGCTATTTCTTGCATCCCTTTGTCATAACTCTGGTAAATACTCAAGGTGGCCTTATTCTCTGGCCCTCAAATTTCCCTAGGTTCACCTTGTATTTTCCCTGGGAAATACAAGTCGCAAACCTGGAATCAGCCATTTCTCAAAAGACCCTTGGTTCCTTTTAATGGGGAGTAAAATTAGAAATCAAACTTTGGATACCTGGAGTGCTCACTACCCATCGTTACTAAGGGGTCATTCCTCTTAGATTATTTCAGTGGATAGAGCTAGAAGATACATGTTTTTTAAATAGTGAGTTTGTGATGATATTTTCAATTTTTTTTTTGTATTTTCAAGTTTAACATTATAGTGTTTCACTTAATTTCTTTGACTTAGTAACTATATTGGAATTGAGGGGATGGGGGATAAACACAAATCTGCCAGAACTTTCTAAGAAAACACCACCACATAGAATACCCATAATATTACTATCTCGGCAACAATAAGGGCACATTCAAATTGTGTACTTTTGATATTTACTGATTAATATCTCAACAGTTAAGCAGAAAATAATAACTATACTATACTTTCTTAGGTATTTTACCAGACCGCATTAGTTTTCTTGTTTTTTTTTTCTTTTCGCTATTCATGTTTGGTGGCCTACTTCCATATTGTTCTAATTTTATCTAAATGAATATGCCATAAATAGTAATTCAACAGTATAAAATTAATTGTAATGGTTTTTGAGTAGAACCCATAATCTGCTCCTGACAGCTGTTAAAAAAGTTGTTTATTAGTAACTGTAATTATGTAATTATTCATCAGTTACAAATTTTTCCCAAGGCATTTCACACATAGTAACTCATTTGGTCCTCACGACCTGAGTTGTATTCTCATCAGTAAGGTGGAAGTAGGCAGAGATAGTAATAGGCTGATACATGGCAGAAGTACCACAGTTGTTGTTATGACCAGTTTCCATTTTGATTGGTACCCTTCCATTCTGTTTGGGTGGTGTCCATATCTTACTAGTTGTTAAATATTTTGCCTATCGAGGTGACTGGGGGCTCATGGGGCACCTCTGTGGCTTAGTCATTGAGCGTCTGCCTTTGGCTCAGGTCATGATCCCAGGGTCCTCTGATTGAGCCCCGCATTGGGCTCCCTGCTGGGCGGGCAGCCTGCTTCTCCCTCTCCCACTCCCCTTGCTTGTGTTCCTGCTCTCGCTGTGTGTGTCTCCCTCCAATAAATAAATAAAATCTTTAAATAAATAAATAAATATTTTGCCTGTTACCCTGGAAGCAGGTTTATATTGTTTTCAATTACTTGCTTCGAGATACATGGCTAGTAAATGGCAAAAGCAGGGCTAGAGCCTAAGCCTTCCTGTTCCTACTTTAGTTCTCTTTATACAGGATCTTTCATTAATAGAAGTGGCAAGTAATCCTTCTATCCAAAAATAGGTTCTGATGGGGAACCTGGGTGGTTTAGTCGATTAAGTGTCTGCCTCCGGCTAAGGTCATGATCCCAGAGTCCTGGGATCAAGCCCCACATAGGGTTTCCTGCTCAGCAGAAAGCCTGCTACTCCCTCACCCTGTGCCTGCCAATCTGCCTACTTGTGCTCTCTCTCTCTCTCTCTCTCTGTGTCAAATAAATAAATAAATAATCTTAAAAAAAAAAAAAAAACTCAAAAAACCCTCAAAAATAGGTTCTGATAAACAAATTTGGGACAATAGATTTTTCTTTCTCTAGCTGGTAGCAATAAATTAACATGAAATGAGGTTTCTCCCTTGCCAGAATAAAGGTATATAAAGTCCTTAGAATAGTACATGTGATATATTTAGTGTTTGCAATTATTATTATTCTGGGACGGTGTCCCTTGTTACCTCAGATATCAAAATACTGTTGGGTTAAAGGATAGGTGAGATTGTTAAGCATGTTTTATTAAACATAGAAATGTTATATCCATCATATAGAGAAAGGTGGTGTTTTATTTGTGATGTCAATTCATCATCAAAACCTGTGATCTTTTTCTAATAATTAGAAGTTAATTTAATATTAGCGCTTGGCTTTGGACATCTTAAGTTTGTAAACTGGAACCTAGATATCGAACTGTTCTGCTTTTGAAAAATCCTTTTTTATAACTATTTCCATCTCTACACAGATTCACCAGGCATGCAAATTAATCTGCAGGAAATGCAAACGCCACGTGACTGATCTAACAGGGCAAGTGGTCCAGGAAGGAACCAGGCGCTACAGACTCTGTAATGAGTGCCTCGCTGAAGTGGGCATAGACAGCCTCCCCATTGATCTGGACGCCGAACAGCATCTTATGTCCCCATCAGATGGAGATAAAGATTCCAGATGGCACTTGAGTGAAGACGAGAACAGATCGTACGTGGAGATCGTAGAGGATGGGTCTGCTGATCTGGTCATACAACAGGTTGACGATAGTGAAGAAGAAGAAGAGAAGGAAATAAAGCCTAACATTAGGTAGCTAACATGCGAACCAACAGCGCTGTCATGTCTGCAACTTACGCTGACTTCCTGTATCTCTCTCTTTCCGTGGTCAGAGTCTGGCTCACAAAGGCATCAGACTGACATTAAGGTGATGGCCTAATAGAACTTGCATGCTTTCCGAACAGGTCATGGTACCCATTCTGAACTTTGTTGCCCTAAAATGTGTTGCTGCACTGGAAAGAAAGACCTAGCTTGAGTTGGCATGATGGACGAACAATTAATCTTCTTCCTTTTATTACAGAGATACATTTTTTTCTTTTAATATTGAAAGATCTACTTAGCAAACTTTTCTCAAAGAAAATATTTTAAATAAATTTACCACAACCAAACTTTATGTAAGATAATTTCAAGGTGTTTCAAAAACACAAACTACCAATATTCAACCAAGGAAGAGCACATTTAAGGGTCTGGCACCCTTACCTGACTGAATTATAAGTCTTTCTATTAATTTCAGATCTAATTTAATTTCAGATCTAAAACAACCTTTCAGTATCCCAATATCCTAGATATTGTTTTAGGATTATGGCAGATGACAAATCTAAAATGTGTGAAACCGTTCATAGTTGAATTTTTTGTCATTAAGGTAAAGATGACTCTTGTGTAGTCAGTATTGTTTAAAAAACAAAAACCTAAAACAGAGGAAGACCAGAGATTACATACAGACATCATCTTCTAAAGCAGGAAACAAATACTGCCTAAAAGTTAAGGTAGTTTGTGAAGATCTGTCAGTATAATTCTCTTCCTCTCTAAAGGAAAACGAGCAAACAAACAAAAAACCAAAAAATGATGAACAAGAAAATTAGAGGTTACAAGTTCTTAAGAGTAATTTCTAACATTTATTGTTCTGCTATATTATTTCTAAAGTGCTCTCTCACACATTTTCTCACTTAATCAGCAAGGGAGATATTACTGTCTCAAATTTACAAGTGAGGAGGTTAATCAGAAAGTTGAAGGGTGGGACTGGTGATGGACAGGTCTTGATTTTAAACAGCCTTCTTTCAACTGTCCCCATATTGTCTCCTAAAATGGTGAAAACTTGAAGTCAAACCTCACCAATCTGCAGTAATCAGAAAAAAAGCCTATTAGAATTAGAAAGTACGAAAGAACTTAATAAGCTTCAACAACACATAATAACTTGGACAAGAGTTATCCAAGAGTGCTCAGTGATGTCCCTCCAGTGTCTACTGACATGTTTTTAATGTCAAGTTATTTATATGTAAATGTTATATATAACACTCTTTGAACAAGTTATTTCTTACGTGCTTTAAGCATTTTTCTTATCTTGTTTATATCATTTTTCAAAACAAACTTTTCTCCTAGGGCATAAAGTTGTGTTTAAACCCCACCCCTGTAAGGGGTGCCTGGCTGCAACTCTTATCTTGGGAGTTGTTAAGTTTGAACCCAACTTGGGTATAGAGATTACAAAAAAAACAAAAAACAAAAAACAAAACTGTAAAATAAAATATACTCCTCCCCTTTATGAATTATGAAACATTCTAAAAGTACAGTTCAATCAGAGAAGCATTGTTTTAGTTCTGAAGTTAAAATCTGAATCCTGGAAAAACCGACTTACTGAAGGTTGCTTCGAATTATTACACTTAAGCTTGATATAATTTAATTTTGATAGAGGCTCCATGTATTATACCGTATTTCTAAATGTCATGATGTCCCTCAAAATGATACTTTCCATTTTATTTTTTCTCTGAATTACTGATTGTCCTTGATACTGACTGGAGGGCTAAAATGGTTAATTTCTAAAACCTTTCTTACAAATAGATGAGTAACCATTTGTTTTTGTTTTATGGTACTTAATGCTGAGACCTTTCCAAGATTCCCCTGATGGTAAATTTCCAGTTGCTTCAAAACTGGATGGCACGCACCAAGTTCACTGTTCTCCCAACATGACTGGTCCTGAATCAGGAGTCTTCACAATTAAGTTGTATCCAAATGAGGGAGGAAAGCACTTGTTATTCCTTAATCTCACCAAATGGTAACATCTTCTAAAATTGTTATCTAGTGTTTAGTCCTTGGAGCCAATAGGAAAAATGAGTGATTGGAGCTTTATTCATGAGAATGAAGTAGTGCATGTATTAGGCTCTAACGCACTTTAGTCTGTGATCTAAATGTTCTCTTACGCTTCTGCATGCAAACATCAGCATGGATGTCAGCCAAGTCCACGGAACACACTGCCACCAGCACCTGTACAGCCTTACCTGAAATAATGCTTTCTCGTTGTTTATAACAAGCATCAAGCTCTCCCACAAAACAGCTATCAAGTTCATCAGACTAGACAGCGTATCTGTTCTACCATTTTAGTATCATAAAAGAAGAACATTTGTGACATTTGTAAGCTGTAAATAATAACTCCAGTTATCATATCATTTGTATCTAAGACATTAGAGACCGATTCTTTCCTAGAGTGAGACTGTCCATTAATGGTTTCTGCGAAAACAAAATTCTTTGGCTTTTAAATGTGGGAAAATGTTACATGGGGGTATAATCTGTTAATATAAGCTTTATTTATGCCACGGATTTTTTTTTAATATTAGCAAAATAGTGGGAGTTCGTTAGAACAAAGTTTGCTCTTACAGTAATGCTGCTTATCAGCTTCTGAACGCCCTTCTAACCCTGGTCCTCAGGAGTGTGTGGTGATGGGAAGACGTTTTGCAAAATAAAACAACATTGCAATCATGCCTAGCAGCTGCAGAAAACAAAAAGAACAAGATCACTGAAGAGGTTTTTTTGCCCAAGAAACCTTTCTTCAAAAGAATGGTTTCAGGGAAAAGCTCACCATTTAAGGGAGAAACTCTAAAATCAGAGCTACTCTAGTTATAGCCTCCAATGAGCTTCACCAGACACCTCTGCAGAGCTCAGGAAGGCAGCACTGAAAACCTTGGAGCCGGGGAGCTTTTTGAATTCCCTTTGAGCACTGGGCTCTCGATTCATTACCTCTATTACTGTGCTTATAACCTGGTAATCAGAGGGTCTCCTAGAGGAGCAGATCACATCTGTAGTCTATACAATGATCATTCTATAGTTATCTTGTCTCAAGACTTTTTCGAAAAACATATTTTTCGAGTAATGGAATCAAAACATAGTAACTGCTTTTATGCTACCAAGTTACTGCTTAATGGATGAAGAAAGTTTGGTGTGTCAGTTACTTTAGAGCTCAGAACTGAATTCATCAGAGTTTTTTTGCAAAGTCATGCTAAGATACATTGAAATTTCCACTCGTATTGGATATATATATATATATATCCTAAATTAATTAATACTGTGGAAATTTAATACTATGAAAAATCACTAAAAGCAATATAGTATAAGATGTATTTAACTGGGAAGGGTGATAATAGGTACTGGAGGACCAAACTTTAGATTATAAATGGAAAGTTCTATGTTATTTTATATTAGAGTGGATCAGTATTACTATTTATCATTTATATAGCATTTTATATTTGCAAAGTATTTAATAATTTTTATGTTATTCTTTACATATCTATGAAATAGGACAGTTATCTCACATGACAGGTAAAGAAACTGAGGCACAGAATGGTAAAGCAACCTCCCTAAGGCAACCCAGTGAAATAATGGCAAATATAGGAATTAGGATGGTCAGATTTTCTGAGTCCTAGAATATCAGCTGAATTCACTGAGGTGTGTTGTGTGTTACCCTATTTTATAAGATGCCTTTATACAAATAATAGTCAATTGTCTTCAAGTTGACGTCATTGTATGTGGATAAATCCTATACAGAATAAATATTATGTAAAGGATATGACTTTAGTTATAAGAGTTTTAATGATAAAATTCAGGTTATCACAGAAACAGCACTATTTAGCCAGCGACTTTATATATTGTGAAGTATAATTAATGTTTTATTTTGATGTCGGAGTTCCTTAACTATTCATGCTAACAGAGCCATGAATAGACCAGAAAAGTGAAATCCACAGAGGATCTATCAACTTCACCTTCTACATGTTAGTCTTTCCCCAGAATTTGTATTCATGCCAACAATAGGTCAAATATATTAATAAGCAATAAACCACACACCAGAGAACCCAGCGGCCTCTTAACTTTTCATGGCTTTTTCATACTGAAATAGCATGATATACACTTTTCTCCATCTTTTTTTTTCCCCCACACCCGTTTCAAAAGCCATTGGAAACTTACCACCTTTAGATTGGAAACCAGTGACCAAGGTAATGCCAGTCACCTCTACCTTTGGTCTTGATTAGATCACTTACAAACATTATTAAATGGAATACAACTTATAAAGGATATCTAAGAATTTATTATACTTTGCTCCTTCAGATTTCTAGATACATGAATTCTTTATATAGTTCTTTGATTTTTCCTATTGGGAAAATCTTTTAATTCCTTGTTGATATTATTTACAACTGCTTAGTTTCTTCATTAAAGAGTAACTTATTTTCATTCAGAGGAAACTGGAACATTTCTGCCCAGACCATAGTTCTCAGCCTTGGCTGCACATTAGAATCACTTGTGGAGCTTTTAAAAATACAGATGCCTTGGGGTGCCTGGGTGGCTCAGTTGGTTGGGTGGCTGCCTTAGCCTGGGTCATGATCCCAGAGTCCTAGTATGGCTCCCCTGGTCAGGCTCCCTGCTGGGTGGGTGAGTCTGCTTCCCCTTCTCCCTCTGCCCCTCCCCCTCTCATGTTCACTCTCTCTATAAAATAAATAAAAATACAGATGCCTAGGCAAATCACAATCTTTGGCAGATGGGGCCTGGATGAAGTATTTTTTAAAAACCTTCCCAATGTCTTTTGTGCAAAACACGTCCTCTCTTCAAGGTTTCCCTCTGTCTTCCTCATACAGATGCTATGAGGGGCATTCGGACCATTTGACCTTCCAGTTTACTGGTCCTCAACCTTAGGAACATATTAATTTTTGTGAAATGTCAAGATACTGTATATGTTCCCTTATTTAAAGTTTTTATTGGGATAAATAATGACACTAAATTATTGGGTAGTCTTAAATAGCCCATTTTTACTTTGGGATGCATTTGGATTTTACTTGAGTATGGGTATTGCATCCTGGGAATTCACACAGAACTTCACATTACTAAGACCTGCATCAGGAATAGGTGGCTGAAATATTATATCCTGAAATTTTACAAGCTTTAATGTTTCTTTGTTTTTATTTTTTTTTTTTATTTATTTATTTGACAGACAGATTACAAGTAGGCAGAGAGGCAGGCAGAGAGAGACAGGAGGAGGAGGCAGGCTCCCTGCTGAGCAGAGAGCCGGATTCGGGACTCGATCCCAGGACCCTGAGATCATGACCTGAGCCGAAGGCAGAGGCTTTAACCACTGAGCCACCCAGGCACCCCTGTTTCTTTGTTTTTATTTTTTTATTTTTTTTATTTTTTATTTTTTAAAGATTTTATTTATTTATTTGACAGACAGAGATCACAAGTAGGCAGAGAGGCAGGCAGAGAGAGAGAGAGGGAAGCAGGCTCCCTGCTGAGCAGAGAGCCCGATGCGGGGCTCGATCCCAGGCCCCTGGGATCATGACCTGAGCCGAAGGCAGAGGCTTTAACCCACTGAGCCACCCAGGTGCCCCTCTTTGTTTTTAAAGAAGGAACCAGAACACACTCTAAGCACTATGGAACTTCATTGCCACACATTCGAATTCCATCTATGAATTGAGTTAAATCATTTTTTATTCAAGTTAAATCATATGGGAGAGGTAGGACTCCATACTAAGATGTGTTATTTAAAGAAGGTGGAGGACAAATTTGGAAATAAAAGTAA